AAAGAGTGTTGAATTTTGTTAGATATATTTTCTGTGTCTATTGAAATCACGTGATTTTTATTTTTATTCTATTGATGTGATATATTTTTAAAAATTATTTCATTTATTCATTCATTTATTTTTTAGTTTGAGCAGAGAGAGACAGAGGGTGAGAGTGAGAGAGAGAGGAAGTGAGAAAGCAAGCCACCAGATTCAGGACTTGAACCCAGGTCAGCCATGTGGGAGTGTCCAGCCCCTTAACCACTATGCCACATGCTGGTCCCAATGTGATATATTAATTGGGATTTTTGAGTGTTAAACCAAGTTTGTATCCCTGGACTAAATCCCACTAGGTCATAGGGATATATATCCTTTTATCTTTTCCCCCCATTGGCAGAGGGTGCATGCATTTGCCAGAGAGAGACAGAGAAAGAAGGGGAGAACATACCCCCAGTGGACGTAGTTATGTCGCAGTCTCTCCCCACTTCTCTGTCCCGTCAGGGTTTGGGAGGTTCAGTCGCGTACACCTCGCATGTTTTCAGGCTGCTGGACCCAGTATTTAAGCTGCGGTCAGCCATGTGGGATCTGGCCCCCTTGACCGCCAGGCTGTGGGACCTGCCCTGTACCCCGTTGCATTTGGCTTGCTGCTATTTTGTTGAAGAATTTGGTGTATGTATTTCTGAGAGATTGTTCAGTAGTTTCTTTTCCTGTTAGGTTTTTGTCTGGTTTTGGTATCAAGATAATACCAGCCTCATAAAGTAAATCGGCAAGTGTTCCTGCCTTTTCTACTTTTTGGGAAGAATTTGTGAAGAACTGCTGTTAACTGTTTGAAATTTTAGGAGAATTCAGTTGTGAGGCCATTGATATTTGCTTTTTTTTTATGGGTAGTGTTTTTTTTTTTTTTTTCATTGTTTTTCACATTTTTGTTACAGGGTGCGTGTACTCACTGGAGAGACAGAGAGACAGACAGAAAGACAAAAAGTGAGAATTCACTCCCTGGGGACAGGCCATGCTGCAGTCCCTTCTCCTCCATTGTCCTCTCCGGATTTTGGGCATGCTCGCACACGTGCCCAGTGTGAGTTTCAAGCCACCGGGTCTGGAACTCGAACTGTGATTGCCTACGTGAGAGTCCAGTGCCTCAACTACCACACCACCTGCTAGTCCCTCTTCATGGGTAGTTTTAAATTCATGATTCAGGCTCTTCATTTGTTGTAGATCTGTTCAGGTTACATTCTTGTTGCTGTTTTCTTTTCGTTCTTATAGAGAGCACGCGTGTGAGTGAGAGGAGGCACATGTGTGCTGAGATGTCTCCTGCAAGCCCGTGCTTACCCTGACCCCGTTCTGTGTGTGCTTGTGAGGGCAGATCTTTTTCTGTCCTTTTACTTTAAATTTTTTTTTCATGAGTGAGACAAAGTAGGGGTAGGGGGAGAGGGAGGGAGGGGGCGAGAAAGAGAGAGAGTGAGCGAGCGAGTGAGAGACCAACCCCTCCAACACTGTCAGGGGCTAGTTGCTTCCAGCCTGAAGAGCTTTAGGGACAGTTTCATTGTTCTGTCCGGAGCTGCTCTTTGGTGCATAGGGAGCCCACTGACCACTAAGCTGAGCTCCTAGGCTGGAGACCACAGTACCCAGGAAACTGAGAGTGTGAGAGAGGGTCTGGGGTCCATGGGTAGCAGTATGGCGGAGCTTTAGGGGCAGACGTGTGTGCCTATTCCCATGAGAATAATCACTGTCCCCTTCCTGACCGTCAGCCTGCCCTCAGTTGTCGGGGCTGGTTCCTAGGGAGCAGTGTCGTGTCTGGGCCCTGGCACTGGCCCCTCTGCCGGCAGCTCGTGCTCAGCAGTGGCGGTAGCCAGGTCAGCGGCCAGGAAAGTGTGTGCTGGTGAGGCTTGAGCTCGCATCCCCTCTCCCACAGCCTCCGGGAACCGGATGATGGCGGTCAGACGCGGCCTCCTGCCACCTGGTGATTCAGAGTCCCCTGCACTGTAGCTGCCGTGGGTGGGATTTCCTTGGTGCCTGCTTCAAGAGGCTCACCCAGGTGCCTGTCATCAGACCTCCTTGTCATCGGTATTCCAGTCCTGTCACTTCCCACTTCCTCACCCACTGGCCAGCCCATCAGCTGTGCCTGCTGATTGGGGTCAGCCCACGCTCGTGGTCTGGTGTGCACTGGAGAGCTCCCAGCTGCTGTGCAGAAGCATCACCTGGTAGGGCCGAGCGCAGCCGTAGTCCATCCCAGCTGGCGCGAGCATCCGTGCAGGCCCTTCTACAGACCAGTCATGTGCTTCCTGTCACAGGCTGCCCCGGGGCCCGGGGGTGGCTCAGAACGAGGTGGCCAAGGAGCAGGAGCGAGCACCTTGGGACATGGGGCCACTGTGTGCAGCTGTTCTCACACCCTTTATTTTTTTTTTGCAGTATTTTTTTTTTTTTGAGTTTTTTTTGCTGTAGGTCATGTGCATTTGCTAGAGAGACAAAGACAGAGAAACAAAGTGAGAAATCGCCCCCCAGGGGGGGGATGGCCACACTGCAGTGCCTTCTTGTCCATTCTCCTTTTAGAATTTTGGGTATTCACGCACACGTGAGTTTAAGCTGCCAGGTCCAGGACTTGAACTGCGGTCCACCATGTGGAGTCCAGCGACCATCTGCTGGGCCCGTCCTTTGCAGTGTGCTGCAGCACAGCCGGGATTGGTGCTGCCTAGTGTTTCCATGCTGCCTCCTGGCTGCTTGTGGCCCCTCCCTGACCACGCTCTCTAACCAGGCAGCCCACAGCCTGGTCTTCCTCAGCGTGCCAGCTTGTCTCCCTCACTGTCCTCCTGCTGAGTGGACGGCCCCTTGTGTGTCCCTGGCCGGCCTCTCCGGTAGAACACAGTGAAGAGCAGGACCAGTTGGTCGCACCTGGCTGTATGGAGGAGGGCTCCTGGGGGGGGGGGGTCCTGGGACCTGTGGGGGACCAAAGCTCTCACTTCCACACAAGGAGGTAGAGTGACAGTAGCCAGGAGCTGGCTGGTGGTTTGAGATTGGGATCTGAAAAAAAAAGTCTTCTATTAATAGTCTGGACTTTTTAAAGTTTAAATTTTGCTTGTAGTTAGTTAACTGTTTTGTATTTTGAGGTTCTGGATTACAGTAACTAAATTTCAAAGCAACTTTCTGCAGAGAGAGAATCTTTACAGGATGGAATAGTGGGAGTCCAGAGGCTCGGGGTCTCCTGCCTGGCCCTGCGGCCTGGGGCCTTACCTGGTGTTCAGTAATGGACGGTGCCAGCGTGTCAGAACGAAGGCGTCGCCGCCCTGACTAACTGCACGTCGTTTTAACAGGAGCAGGACCTGGTCGGCTGCCCAGTTCGTGGCGGAGCGGAGCAGCGTGTTGGTGTTCCTGCCAGGTGTGTTGACTTCATTTTGTAGCCCAGGAGTGTAGCGCTCCAGAGGGAGGCCAGCCGCGCCCAGCATTCCTCTCGCAGTGGTCTCCACGTGCGCGTTGCTTTAGACGGAATGCGAACAGTGTGGCTTTCAGTCTGACTCCTGACTGCAGCCTTCATATTGTGTAAGGGTTCTTACTGCTAATGAAGAGTTTAGTTTCAAAGGGAGTCTTGCCACCTTCGGAATTTTCAATGTAACATTGAGATTTGGCTTTGTTCAACTTGTACGTCATTGTATAAACGTGAAGCAGTTGTCCTCGGTCTGCACTGAAAAGCTTATGTAATGACAGTAAGACACATCGTCGCTGTAATGCCACGAGAGTCACTGGAGTGGCCTCCGAGTGCCATTCTCAGTGTGCGAGAGGGAAGGTAGGCTCACCGTGCTGTTGTCAGTGTGCGAGAGGGAAGGTAGGCTCACAGTGCTGTTGTCAGTGTGCGAGAGGGAAGGTAGGCTCACAGTGCTGTTGTCAGTGTGCGAGAGGGAAGGTAGGCTCACAGTGCCGTTGTCAGTGTGCGAGAGGGAAGGTAGGCTCACAGTGCCGTTGTCAGTGTGCGAGAGGGAAGGTAGGCTCACAGTGCCGTTGTCAGTGTGCGAGAGGGAAGGTAGGCTCACAGTGCCGTTGTCAGTGTGCGAGAGGGAAGGTAGGCTCACAGTGCCGTTGTCAGTGTGCGAGAGGGAAGGTAGGCTCACAGTGCCGTTGTCAGTGTGCGAGAGGGAAGGTAGGCTCACAGTGCCGTTGTCAGTGTGCGAGAGGGAAGGTAGGCTCACAGTGCCGTTGTCAGTGTGCGAGAGGGAAGGTAGGCTCACAGTGCCGTTGTCAGTGTGCGAGAGGGAAGGTAGGCTCACAGTGCCGTTGTCAGTGTGCGAGAGGGAAGGTAGGCTCACAGTGCCGTTGTCAGTGTGCGAGAGGGAAGGTAGGCTCACAGTGCCGTTGTCAGTGTGCGAGAGGGAAGGTAGGCTCACAGTGCCGTTGTCAGTGTGCGAGAGGGAAGGTAGGCTCACAGTGCCGTTGTCAGTGTGCGAGAGGGAAGGTAGGCTCACAGTGCCGTTGTCAGTGTGCGAGAGGGAAGGTAGGCTCACAGTGCCGTTGTCAGTGTGCGAGAGGGAAGGTAGGCTCACAGTGCCGTTGTCAGTGTGCGAGAGGGAAGGTAGGCTCACAGTGCCGTTGTCAGTGTGCGAGAGGGAAGGTAGGCTCACAGTGCCGTTGTCAGTGTGCGAGAGGGAAGGTAGGCTCACAGTGCCGTTGTCAGTGTGCGAGAGGGAAGGTAGGCTCACAGTGCCGTTGTCAGTGTGCGAGAGGGAAGGTAGGCTCACAGTGCCGTTGTCAGTGTGCGAGAGGGAAGGTAGGCTCACAGTGCCGTTGTCAGTGTGCGAGAGGGAAGGTAGGCTCACAGTGCCGTTGTCAGTGTGCGAGAGGGAAGGTAGGCTCACAGTGCCGTTGTCAGTGTGCGAGAGGGAAGGTAGGCTCACAGTGCCGTTGTCAGTGTGCGAGAGGGAAGGTAGGCTCACAGTGCCGTTGTCAGTGTGCGAGAGGGAAGGTAGGCTCACAGTGCCGTTGTCAGTGTGCGAGAGGGAAGGTAGGCTCACAGTGCCGTTGTCAGTGTGCGAGAGGGAAGGTAGGCTCACAGTGCCGTTGTCAGTGTGCGAGAGGGAAGGTAGGCTCACAGTGCCGTTGTCAGTGTGCGAGAGGGAAGGTAGGCTCACAGTGCCGTTGTCAGTGTGCGAGAGGGAAGGTAGGCTCACAGTGCCGTTGTCAGTGTGCGAGAGGGAAGGTAGGCTCACAGTGCCGTTGTCAGTGTGCGAGAGGGAAGGTAGGCTCACAGTGCCGTTGTCAGTGTGCGAGAGGGAAGGTAGGCTCACAGTGCCGTTGTCAGTGTGCGAGAGGGAAGGTAGGCTCACAGTGCCGTTGTCAGTGTGCGAGAGGGAAGGTAGGCTCACAGTGCCGTTGTCAGTGTGCGAGAGGGAAGGTAGGCTCACAGTGCCGTTGTCAGTGTGCGAGAGGGAAGGTAGGCTCACAGTGCCGTTGTCAGTGTGCGAGAGGGAAGGTAGGCTCACAGTGCCGTTGTCAGTGTGCGAGAGGGAAGGTAGGCTCACAGTGCCGTTGTCAGTGTGCGAGAGGGAAGGTAGGCTCACAGTGCCGTTGTCAGTGTGCGAGAGGGAAGGTAGGCTCACAGTGCCGTTGTCAGTGTGCGAGAGGGAAGGTAGGCTCACAGTGCCGTTGTCAGTGTGCGAGAGGGAAGGTAGGCTCACAGTGCCGTTGTCAGTGTGCGAGAGGGAAGGTAGGCTCACAGTGCCGTTGTCAGTGTGCGAGAGGGAAGGTAGGCTCACAGTGCCGTTGTCAGTGTGCGAGAGGGAAGGTAGGCTCACAGTGCCGTTGTCAGTGTGCGAGAGGGAAGGTAGGCTCACAGTGCCGTTGTCAGTGTGCGAGAGGGAAGGTAGGCTCACAGTGCCGTTGTCAGTGTGCGAGAGGGAAGGTAGGCTCACAGTGCCGTTGTCAGTGTGCGAGAGGGAAGGTAGGCTCACAGTGCCGTTGTCAGTGTGCGAGAGGGAAGGTAGGCTCACAGTGCCGTTGTCAGTGTGCGAGAGGGAAGGTAGGCTCACAGTGCCGTTGTCAGTGTGCGAGAGGGAAGGTAGGCTCACAGTGCCGTTGTCAGTGTGCGAGAGGGAAGGTAGGCTCACAGTGCCGTTGTCAGTGTGCGAGAGGGAAGGTAGGCTCACAGTGCCGTTGTCAGTGTGCGAGAGGGAAGGTAGGCTCACAGTGCCGTTGTCAGTGTGCGAGAGGGAAGGTAGGCTCACAGTGCCGTTGTCAGTGTGCGAGAGGGAAGGTAGGCTCACAGTGCCGTTGTCAGTGTGCGAGAGGGAAGGTAGGCTCACAGTGCCGTTGTCAGTGTGCGAGAGGGAAGGTAGGCTCACAGTGCCGTTGTCAGTGTGCGAGAGGGAAGGTAGGCTCACAGTGCCGTTGTCAGTGTGCGAGAGGGAAGGTAGGCTCACAGTGCCGTTGTCAGTGTGCGAGAGGGAAGGTAGGCTCACAGTGCCGTTGTCAGTGTGCGAGAGGGAAGGTAGGCTCACAGTGCCGTTGTCAGTGTGCGAGAGGGAAGGTAGGCTCACAGTGCCGTTGTCAGTGTGCGAGAGGGAAGGTAGGCTCACAGTGCCGTTGTCAGTGTGCGAGAGGGAAGGTAGGCTCACAGTGCCGTTGTCAGTGTGCGAGAGGGAAGGTAGGCTCACAGTGCCGTTGTCAGTGTGCGAGAGGGAAGGTAGGCTCACAGTGCCGTTGTCAGTGTGCGAGAGGGAAGGTAGGCTCACAGTGCCGTTGTCAGTGTGCGAGAGGGAAGGTAGGCTCACAGTGCCGTTGTCAGTGTGCGAGAGGGAAGGTAGGCTCACAGTGCCGTTGTCAGTGTGCGAGAGGGAAGGTAGGCTCACAGTGCCGTTGTCAGTGTGCGAGAGGGAAGGTAGGCTCACAGTGCCGTTGTCAGTGTGCGAGAGGGAAGGTAGGCTCACAGTGCCGTTGTCAGTGTGCGAGAGGGAAGGTAGGCTCACGGTGCCGTTGTCAGTGTGCGAGAGGGAGGGTAGGCTCACAGTGCCGTTGTCAGTGTGCGAGAGGGAAGGTAGGCTCACAGTGCCGTTGTCAGTGTGCGAGAGGGAAGGTAGGCTCACAGTGCCGTTGTCAGTGTGCGAGAGGGAAGGTAGGCTCACGGTGCCGTTGTCAGTGTGCGAGAGGGAGGGTAGGCTCACAGTGCCGTTGTCAGTGTGCGAGAGGGAAGGTAGGCTCACAGTGCCGTTGTCAGTGTGCGAGAGGGAAGGTAGGCTCACAGTGCCGTTGTCAGTGTGCGAGAGGGAAGGTAGGCTCACAGTGCCGTTGTCAGTGTGCGAGAGGGAAGGTAGGCTCACAGTGCTGTTGTCAGTGTGCGAGAGGGAAGGTAGGCTCACAATGCCGTTGTCAGTGTGCGAGAGGGAAGGTAGGCTCACAGTGCCTTTCTGAAAAGACTATGTAGAATTTAACTTTTTCAAAATGATTGGACAGATTTTGTCAAGTGGCATAGCTGTGTGAAACTTCATGGCAGTCATCCAGGTAGTTTTAGCTGCAGGAAGGCAGTGTTCAGAGCATCTGAGTACGTGTGCAGCATGATGGAGCAAGCAGCATGCGGTGGGGACAGCTGACTTAATGTCGGGTGCAGCAGGGGCCGCACAGTCCCGCGTAGGCTGAGTCATTGTATATGCGGGAACCAACCTCTGGCTGACAGGTGGAGCTGCATTCCCTAGTAAGTACTTACAGGCAATTACCATGTGGGTGTGTGCAGTGAGGAAACGAGTCACCGAAGGGTCGTGTGGATACTAGCTGAAGACCCGAGAGTGACCGATAGCTTTTAACTGCCAACATTGCCCGGATTAAGTACTTATAAGCGGTATTGCATTTAGGTTTGCTGTCTTTCTGTGAAATGTTGATGTGAATTCAGGGTTGATATGCATACATGCCTGTGTTTTTCTCATTGATATTTGCGAGCAGTTCTGTGTTGGTTTTCCAGGGCCGCTATAGCACGTTGCCTCAAACTGGATAGCTTAAAAGAATGGTGGTTTACTCTGTCCCTGTTCCGGAGGTTGGGCTTTCAAAACCAAGGTGTCAGTAGGGCCCCGTTCCCTTCGAGGCTCTGGGTGGAGTTCTTCCTGGTGTCTGGTGGGGGCCCTCAGCCCTGGGCTGACGTGGCTGTGGCCGCACCACTCCAGTCTCTCCAGCACCGTGGCCGGGCCACTTCTCTTCCTGTGAGAACAGCGGGGCCTGGGCTAGGGCTCTACCCTGACCCAGTGTGGCCTCGCCTAAGTCACTGCACCTGCAGTGACTTCGCAAGTGACCAGATGCGGTCACCCTGAGTTATGGGGCGGCCCTTGCTCCTCCCTGAGGACACAGTGGAGTCCACAGTGGACTCACATGTTGGCAGTCCGGGTGAGGCTGAGTGCATGTGACATATGTAGGTGATACCTGTCAAGCCTAAGGAAAACTAGTGACTCTGTGACTAAGACTTGAAAACCGTTATGTTGTGGTTGTAAAGATTTTTACATGCTCATGGTGGAAAATTTGGAGCATCTTCCAATTTGGAAATTTGAAGGAAAGAAGCATAAGCTAACCTAACTGGCTGGCCCCGTGGTAGTCACTGCTGCAGAAGGGAAGGCAAGGGCGAGACCACTGTGCTCTGGTTTGAGTCACCGAGAGCCAGTGTTATTGTGATCGTCACTCGTAATCCGACGCACCTGGGCGAGGAGGGTAAGAAGCTGAATGAAATGAATTGGTAGGGTCTTCTTTGAAAAAGATGTCATTTGGATTTAAAGATTGTATTTAGCAATAAGTACAAATAAATGCACCTCTCCCTCCCCTCTTCCATAGGCCTGGGTGAAATAAACTACATGCATGAACTTCTAACAAATATGGTCCACAAAAGGTGTGTTTAGAATAATTCAGCTGTTTATATTTTTAAACTGCCGGACTGTCTCTGCCTTAACTTGAACGACCTCAGTGATTATCCGTCCAGTGTCTCAGGGCTCTGCCCTCTCTGGGCATTTCATCTCAGTGCCTCGCTTCGCAGGTTACAGGTCTACCCGCTGCACTCGAGCGTGACCCTCGAGGAGCAGAACAACGTGTTCCTGAGCCCGGTCCCTGGGTACAGAAAGGTAGGAAGGCCGGCGGGCCCGCTCTCAGCGCCGCTGCTGACTTCTCCCCGAGACTCTGCT